TTGATTGATTGTTGGAGATTAAGAAGAAAAATTAAGATTTGGAATGTGTGCAAAGGTCGTTACCGAAAATAGGGTCAGATTTATTTTTAGTTTGAAATTTGTGAGTGGTTTTTGCGTTTCAATATTATTATACTGTCAGTGGTACGCAAAGTGCGGTTTCAGAGCCGCATGTGGCACTTTGGCTCCCTCTGGTACAAATATCCATGGAAGGACCAATAATATTTTCAGTTAAAAAACAAAACTTATTTTAATAAACTAAAATTCTTCTATAAATCGAGAATTTGTATATTTTTGGTTAAGTTAAAAGATAGAGAGATAATTAAAATTTTATATTATTGTAAAAATACGTAATGAACATCGAGTTTAATTTTATTAGTTCTCGTAAACATAAACACAAACCATGTACAAGCTACCGACTGAAACTGTGTGATACAAAAGTACCACGGTACCAGCATGCGCTCGCACACTTTTTCTAAACTAGTAGGGGTAGTAGTTGGCATCACACACCAGCAGTTGCAGACTTGCATCTCGGGACAGCCAGTGCGGATTCAGAACACTACAAGAGTTTATAGCCGATGCCAACCGAGTTTTTGAATACGAGATGTGTTGTATATATCGACGTCTCAGACGAAAACTAACAAATATTCAAAAAAATTGGGTAGATATGCCTAAAAAGAATTAAGAGTTACCATTATCTGCTAAAACCATTAGAGATAGAATAATTAAAATGTGTTCCAATATAACCAAGCAGCAAATCGAAGATCTGAAATTGGTTTTCTTTTATTACATTGAAAATGGTTGAGATTTCTACGATTTGGGATTGTTAATCATTGATTAGGCTGTTTTAGCCACTTCAAGTAATGAATACAGCTTTTTTGATCATAACGAATCTTCTTCTTTAAGCGCCATATCCGCGGCGGAGGTCGGCAATCATCATAGCCATTCTTACTTTTCAGACGGCTGCTCTGAAAAGTTCCTTTGATGTACATCCGTACAACTCTCTTAGGTTGCGCGCCATGACATTCTACGTCTCCCTATGCTTCTCTTTCCTTGGATCTTTCCCTGCATAATTAGTTGGTGCAAGGTGTATTCATCGAGCAATAAGACAAAAAGGGGGAATCTAATCCTTATGAAAAGGAGACCAAAAAAGTGGCCTCTGATGGCGGACATATCCGGAAATGCGAATGCGCTAAATTTAAATTTTCCAACACTTGTTAACAATACCTGTAAAATATTTTTCAGACAAGAAAGTTTTAATTAAATATTAACGATAATAGTCTAAAAAGTGACATAATTGGTAAAAAAACTTCAATATAAATAAAATTTCATGTGATAGTTGGGACAAACAATAACATAACCAAACTAAATTTGACTTTTAAACAAGGAAAGAGACTGTCTTTCCTTGTTTAAAGTGGCCTCTCAAGATGGCACTTCCTGTCTAACAATATGTTTGCCTTCACTACCTTTACATTCCCTCTATTGTCTTTTTGCTCGGTGGGTGTATTTCTCCCCATGTCTAATATGTCCAAGATATTCTAACTTTCATGTTTAAATTGAGGCTATGCGTGCAATAACGGACCAACCCACAAAAATTCAAAATTTGTTTTATTGTAGAATATTAACCGTCTAGTTGACATCTATCAGCTGCATAGTGGGCCAATCCACATTGTTCCATTGGTTCCTAGATGGCTGCACTAAAGTAGTTTTGGAACTCCATATTTGATAGGATCTTTGAGAAGCAAAGTGGACCATGCGCGGTTAGTCCACTGTGCCGCTGACAGTTATATGTTTATCATTCTTTATTGATATTTTTGGATCTTTTTGTGAATTATTGTGACTTTTAATTATTGTGAAATATATTTATTCTATTGATATGGATTTCGATGAAGATGCTACAAGTAAAGGTGAGTAGGTATATTTTATAAATAAAAATAAAAAAGTATGAAAGGAAGAAACATTGTTTCTAGGTTATGATTTTATTTTATTTTTCTGAGACAGTTTTTGCTTTCAAATAATTTAGTTTTTTATATTTTAATTTGCTTTTAAGAAATTTAGTTGCTATTCTTAAAAATTTGTTGTAAGTAGAGGTGAGGTAGATATATTTTATAAAGATAAATAAAAAAAGTACGAAAATAAAAAACGTTGTCTCTAGGTTATGATTTAATTTTGTTTTTCTGGGATAGTTTGATTTTAGATAATACTATTTAGTTGTTATTTTTTAAAATTAGATTAAAAAATTTCTCTATGGTTCTAATTTGTGCGTTTTGTTGCAGGCGGCTCAGCCTCAGAATCAGATCCATATGTGGATTCTGGATCGGAGTACTTGCCTTCTGATGGAGATTTGGCGGAAACTAATAGGGACGTGGAAAAAGGCAACGATACAGAAGAAGATATCGACAGAGCGGAACCAACGACATCTAGTAAGTAAATAAAAATGAAAGAGAAAGAGAACCATAGGAAATACTTGTCTCCGGATTTGAGTCTCGGTAAAATGTATGAGTTATATAAAGGTGAAACACAGAATCCCCTATTCTATTTTATTTTCCGAGAAACGTTCAACAAGGAATATAATTTACACTTTCATCCACCAATTACTGACTCTTGTAAGAAGTGTGATATATTTGAAGTTAAAATAAAGGCAGCCAATAGTGAATAAAGTAAACAACTCGAAACTGAAAAAGAACTTCATCAAAAGAAGGCGAAGAGTGCTAAAAATTCTTTAAAAAGAGACACCGAAATGGCAAAAAATGGAAACGCATCAGTCATGTGTTTCGATCTAATGAAAACTTTACCTACACCTGTGTTTACCGAAGGAATTTGTTACTACAAGCGGCAATTATCGACTTACTGCTTCAATGTTCATGAAATGGAAACCAACAACTCATTTATGTTTGTGTGGGATAAAATCGTCGCCTGTAGGGGTCCTCAAGAAGTAGGATCCTGCATCTTATTTTACATAAAAAATTTCGTAAAATCGAAACGACTTATTATGTATTCTGACCAATGTGGCGGTCAAAATCGTAATATTAAAATGTCATTACTATGCAATTATATAACTGCATCTCCAGATTTTACCGTGGAAGAAATAGACCACAATTTTCTGGTAAGTGGTCATTCTTACTTACCGTTTGACCAAGATTTTGGTATAATAGAAAAAGAAAAGAAATTCCACCAGCATGTATTTATACCTCAAGACTGACATACAGTGATAAAGCACGCTAGAAAGAAAAATCCGTTCACAGTAATAAACATGGACAAAACAAATTTTTTTTCTAAGAAATTGCTTGAAAATAATACAACCAACAGGAAAGTTTCCGAATCAAAAACCAAGGTAGAGTGGCTTAAAATTTAATGGTTAAGGTTTAGGAAAGACTTTCCCAATACTATCCAATATAAGTATTCGAACAATGCAGATGTGTATTTTGAAACAGTGGATCTTAATAAAAGGAAATCTGTTTCCAAGAATACAATGGAATTGCCACTTCTGTATCCAAATGGTAATACCATTAACGAATCTAAAAAAAAAGATCTTCAGTTAATGGAATTGATACCCCCTATACACCATGAATTTTATAAAAACCTGAGATCTTCAGCGCAAGCAGCCGGACACATTCTGTGGTAATAAAGTCTTTGATGTAATATTGTTTATTATTTTGTGGGAAAACCCATTCACAAACTAAAAATATTTTAAATGCAAAGTGGACCAACCCACATTAAAAAATCGAATATAGGTATTTATCCAAAATTTATTATCAAATTTATTAAACAAGTAATATATATATATATATATATATATATATATATATATATATATATATATATATATATATATATATATAGATATATATATATAGATATATATATATATATATATATATATATATATATATAACATACTTCCATTCATTCAAACCAAAAAATATTCTTAAACAAGGTTATAGTTGATCTCCTAATTTTCACTTTTTTTTCAAACCCATTTTCTAACATTTACTAATATTGGGGTTAGTCCGTTATTGCACTCATAGCCTCAATTGTCTTTAAAATTTTCATTTCTTATTCATCCGTCTCAGAACCTCTTTGTTTGTGACGTGTTCTGTGTGGTTCTGTCCACGATATTTTCAGAATACTTCTATATACCCACAGCTCGAATGATTCCAGTTTTTTCATTGATGTCGCATTCAAGGTTCAATATTCCATTCCATAAAACAAAGTCGAAAAAACATAGCACCTCGTCAACCTTACTCTTAGTTCCAGTTTTAAATCCCTGGTACATAACGAATATGGTTGCCTTAATTTTTAATCCTTAATATTTACTTCACACAGCGGCAACGACATGCAACGAAAGATCGGACAATTCTAAATGTTAATAGTGTGCATATAGACACGCAATTATTGCAAGAATTGTTTGAATTAGAACGTTCAAGTAATATTTCATTTTATTTGAAGTTTCATGGCTTGTGTTTATATATTTTACGATTATTTTGAAATTTAACCTATGATTTAGATAGATTAATTAAATGCAGAATATATTGCTTTGACTTTCTTAACCTTTTTAAAATTAATCACTTTTATTACAAATATTTTGAAAAATGTACATTCTTAAGTATTTGTATTACACGTAAACTCAATTCGTGTTACAGCCAACTGTTATTGTTACTTTTATGAAAAATGAGAATGATATTTTTATTGTTATTTGTCTCAATGCCTTAAAGGGACTGATAAGGCAACAAAAAATGTTGTTCATTAATAATTGTAGTACACTGCCAGTGAAAAGTGGATTCTGTAAATGCAGGCATAAAAAATATTTCAATTTATAGATAATTGGATAAGTAAAATAATATATTTTAATGCATTAATAGTTTATATATATATATATATATATATATATATATATATATATATATATATATATATATATATATATATATATATATATATATATATATATATATATATATATCAAAACTATAATGACAATGAGTATTGTAAAGTAGACTTACCTTGGCCAGGCGCATGGCTATGACCCAACAGGAGCGGACTCGCTCAGAATCGCAGGCGAGACAGCGCAATTGGTCAGAGGAAGAAGTAAAAGAGGATGAGGATGGCGTCGAGGCGATGGCGGCTGCGACGTCCTCGTCGTTGTTGTCCGCCGTTTTGCCGGTAGATATAGAAGCAGGTCTCAGTACGATGCCCCACTCGGTAGGAGCACGGAATTGGTTTTTGGCGTTAAGCGTCGTGTAAGCGTGAAACCTGCGGATGTCAGCGAATATCTCTATATCGCTGCCGACCCTCTTATCCTCCGAGATCTGAAACAAAAACACACCTGTAAAAATATCGACATACAGAATTAATAAAACAAATCTATTATAGTACAGAACACTGGCTCAATCAAATCTCCTAAAAGTCGTCGTTGTTTTATAATCATGTATATCAATGGCAATATTTTCATTCAAACAATAAACTACCACTTTGGTCCTTTGAGCCGGACTGCTTATAGTAGTAAACTATTTCCACACTTCTTTAATTTAATTTAACTTATGCTCTAATTATAGGGGAACAGCTGTTATCACCTCGTCGTAAATTATTCCAAGGTGGGTACGTGCCGAGTCAATCCACACCACCCTCCGCGGTGTCGGCTTTGGGAAGTGCGTACGTACCCGGCTCGTTCAAGCTCACCAGGCTCTTGTGGAAAATGAGAGTAGAGTGGTCCCACGAGACGATTGCCTCGGATACTAGGAATGTAGACCGGTGACTGAGATGACTAAACATCTCTGTGCGTTTCTACCAACCCGACACTTCAAACGACGGCTCTCCACCTCTCATATCCGCCTCCTCGAGCCGGAAGGAGACATAGCGGATACAGCGATCAATCCGAATTTACGAAAGCCTTTGTAGAAAAATGTCACATTAAAGGTCGATTCAGACACAGAAGTCCCGTCATAGTCTCGGCGCCGAACCGGTCCTGTTTGGTCACAGAACTATCAACTATCTGACAGCTGGGAAACTGTTTGTCAACTGATGAGTGTGAATGCCGGCAACATATTTGTATTAAAGAATATTTCGTATGACGGATTGTTCGGTTCGGCGCAATCACTGTGACGAGGCGTGACTGATGTGTCTGAATCGACCTTTATTTTGTTAGGGTATTTTGCACTGTTACTGTATATTAATTGAATACCGATGGCAACAAAGCAAATACAGACAAGTAAAAGCGAATCCTAGGTGTATGAAGTTCAAAAACATCGTAAACAGTATTGCTGTTTCTTACCTAGATTCTGCTTACTTGCACGGTATGTGGAGTTTGAAATGATTGGATTATATAGAAAAATCAACAACGTCGCAGTAGAGTAAACAGGACAACAACTTTCTTCTTCTTTGGGTGCCGTCTTCAATGAAGGTTGGCGATAACCTCAGCAAAATCATTTCTGCTCCTGGCTTTTCTTATTAAAGATTGAGAATCCAAACCAGTCCACTCACGAATGTTCTTCAACCAGGACGCCTGCCGTCTACCAGGACCACGTTTTCCTTCTACCTTCCCCTCTATAAGAAGCTGCAGTAGCTGGTATTTCTCATTTCTGTATATGTGTCCCAAATATGAGGTTTTCCGCGTTTTCATTATTTTTAAGAGTTCTGTCGGTACCCATCTTGTGTAGGACCTGCTCGTTGCTCATATGCGCTGTCCAGGGGACTTTCAGCAACCTTCGAAATAATCACATTTCAAAACTTTCCAAACGCCTGAGTGAGTTGATTTTGAAGGTCCAGGCCTCCATTCCATATAGTAAGGTGCTGTAAACGTAACATTTCAGCATTCGGTATCGGATTTTGAGATTGAGTGTTTGGGACGTAAACATTTGTTTCATTTTTAAAAAGACATTTCTTGCTTGTTCAATTCGCGATTTTATTTCTATGTCTGGATCTATATCTTTCGTTATCCAGCACCCTAGATATCGAAATTTCTCGACATTTTCGATAATGTTACCATTTACGTTTAAAGCCATGGGTGGATGGATGGATGTTTTTGAGACAACAACGTAGCGGAGCAAAGGCTACAACGTCGTAGTTGTTGAACTACAGACTGTGAAAAACATATTAAGAGTAAGTTCTCTTTAAGATCTTTTTTTGTCCTGTAGGTATGGAATGTCTGGCTTTTACATGGTAACGACTCTCTCTAACAAACAAAATTTATTATTTAGGGAGGAAAATTGCAAAAATGTATTCTTTTTTTTTCTATTTAGACCAATGGTTCATTCTTCAGACTATGCTTTTCTGCGATGTAGATTAGCAGCTATTAAGAGAGATATTATTAATTAAGAGCCTTTTTTAATAAAAAATCTCATCTTTCCCCGATTAGGGCTTACCATTTGTTAAACTCAGTAAGTTACCGCTCTCACCATTGTGCATAGAAACGTTAATGTATCTCTTGGCAAATCTTTTTATTGTAAATTAATTCGACTCATTAGAAATATGTTAACGATTTGGCTACGGTTCCATCTTTCCGTTGCACTGTTGCAAATATCTTTTTAATGGATTTTCGTTTACGTCAAACGACTATATATAATTTTATTACTTCGAAGTACACTCGTTAAAGGTGTATTTATAAATTTTTAGTTATTTTGTGATGTCTCTTTTACGATAATGCCATTAATACGAGTAATTAAGAAGGATTTATGGGTAGTAATATTTAAATGCAAATTACCGGATATGTTGTGAAAGGCTAAAAGGATCTCTAGGAGGTTTTCAAAAGAGGTACATAGAATGGACGGAGGAAAGTCAAACACTGCATGACGAATTTTTAAAATAGGAGTATCCCGACATTGTAGACAATTTACTAGTCACTAGACTTAATAGACAGAAGTTTACCGTACTACATATTAATTTCTCCCGTTCCAGTCAAAAGGCATACTGAGCGAAGCAAGTAGAGCACAAAACTCGAACAAATCAACAATTGAGAAAAATAAGATAGCAAACAGAATAATTAAGAACTCCCGAGCTCCACCTAAGAAAACTCATACATCGGACGTAAGAAGCAACTTAAAGCAAATACTCCAACAACATCTGAATACTCATATGTCTTCTCATTGGATAAAAAAACGAAGCACCTAATCAAACCAAAATAACAAAAGCAGATGGCTTCGATGAAATGTATCATGAATTTAAAATCCACATAGGTGCAAACATACAGCAGTGGCTCAAAAAATTCTTTAGCGACATTGAGACTACAGCTTTAAAAGAACAAAAATTATTGCAATCCAGAAGCCTGTCAAAGACATCCAGCTGTCTGAAAGTTATCCGCCCATTGCCTAGCTCAGTTGTTGTTACAAATTACTGGAACAACTATTATAAACAGAATATGTAACACTATTGAGGTTGCTACAGTGCTGTCCCTAACTACATTTATCAAGGTTAGATTTGAAAGACGTCACAAATCTGCCATAGCATTCGCAGACTTAACAGCTGCCTATGACACTGTGTGGAGAGAGGGCTTCATTTATAAGTTGAAGAAAATCATACCCTGTCTTAAAACTTATCACCCAATGAACAATTTACTAACTAACAGACTGTCTCAGTCTAACTATTATCATTATTATTTAACACTCCATTATTATTTAACCTTTATACGGCAGACATACCTGAGACAAAATAGAGAAAATTTGCATTTGCTAAAGCTCTGGCCATTGGCTTTGAAGAGAAATATAAAGAAGTAGGAGAAGGAGCTCTAAACGAAGATTTAACTAAACGAAGCACCTATTTTTTTTATTTATTATTATTAATTATATTAGGATAAATTTCTTGGTAGTGAAAAGAATACAACAAACTTAATACACCTTCTCAAAACTGCTGTTCACTTTAGGCACTTGGCAACCTGAACAATAATAATTTTCATATGAGTTTTCCCATCTCGAAAGTGCGCATTTTCGTTTTAAGATTTTAAATTGTTTATAATTTCAAAACTATCAACTTTAGAGGAAAATGACACAGCAATTTTTTGTTTAAAATGACTCAAGAAACTCTGTTTGACTGAAACAAGTGTGTTTGACTGATGTGCAAAAATACTCACCAAATTTGTTTGCTATCTGTTCTGGATGTATCAATAATTTATGAATATCAGTAATAGTCCACTCAAAATTGTTTTTATTTTTACCAGTTTGACAATTTACAGTTTTCCATATCTCCTTCCTTCTTTTATTATGATTTTGATTATATAAATAACTTTGAAGGATGGGAAAAGGGCATCTCAATAAATGGTCATAAACTAAACAACCTACGTTTCGCAGATGACACAGCCCTTCTTGCAAATAGTCAAGCAGAGCTGATGGAACTTATACGACTGATCGAAAACGAAAGTCAAATATTTGGTCTGCAATTAAACATATCAAAGACAAATATCATGATAGTAGATAGACTACAAAACAATCATCCACACATAACCACAATTGACCGGTTCGAGGTTGTGAGCTCATACTTATATCTGGGATCATTAATCACAAACACAGGGTCATTACAAGAAGAGGTTAAACGTAGATGTAATCTAGCAAAAGTTGCCACAGCAAAAATGGCCAAAATATGGAAGGATGGTCAAATTTCAAGAGCAATAAAGATGAGGTTGATCAACTGCTTAATATTCCCAATACTGACCTACGGATGTGAATCTTGGACTCTGAGACAATCGGAGAGAAGAAAGATAGACGCCACTGAAATGTTCTGTTGGAGACGAATGTTACGAATTCCTTGGACCGACCGTAGAACAAATAATTCAATTTTAAGAGAGCTAAAAGTTAGCCAACGACTCTCTAGTAAAGTCCATCTCCAACAATTAAAATATTTTGGGCATGTTATGAGAGCAAACACAGAAAACATGGAAAGACTCATAATACAAGGAAAGGTAGAAGACCGAAGATCACGAGGAAGATCCCCAACAAGATGGATAGATCAAATTGCAGGAATATGCCAAAGACCTATGCATGAATTAAAAGAAATGACCAGAGACAGAGATCTCTGGAGACGGACAATACACGACATCACGTCGACCACTACACTCCCCCTGGGGGTGTCAGGATTGAAGAGAGAGAGAGAGAGAGAGAGAGAGAGAGAGAGAGAGAGAGAGAGAGAGAGAGAGAAAGAAAGAGAGAGAGAGAGACAGAAACAAAATTACAATTTGTTATATTATATACTATAATATCTTTTGTTAGGCTTGATCGAATTTACACACATCGACACTCGCGGGTGCGAATTCATAAGCAATGAAGCGCTCGTCCTGACCTGTCGATTTTATCAGTCAACGATTTGGCATAATTTGGATATGTTT